CCGGGACTTTTAGACTTGAGTCTTTTGAATATTTTACTGCTAAGAACTGGAACTCTTATGTCTATTTAATGTTTAAAAATGTAACTAATTTTAAAGCACCAAATAAAAAATACAGGTCAGATCAGGTTTTCAAACTTGCTACTGGTACCATGTAACCCAGTACTACCTGCCACATGGAYGGGTCGTCGGCGTCTAAACCAGCTCCCCCACTGGCTAACCAGTGAGGAGGGTGGCTTGACACCCAGCAGGATTAAAAATAAGATTYGTCAAAGGTTGGAGGAGCTCGTAGGAGCCAACAGCCATCAAGCAAGCGTCTTCTCGGATAATGACGTAAAACCGGAGGTCCCGTCTGCTTGCACTTGACCCCCGATAAAGTGGACGTAAAAGATCCTGTTGTATTTTTYGGGATTGTTACCCGATACAACAGTCTGACCTTTAGTCGTGGTTTCGTTGTGCATGTGTGTTTATTTATTTTATTTTCGTATCATTTATTTTTTATTTTTTCCCCCTGTGGTATGGGTTGTGTAGCGGCAGTCACAGGCGCCAAGCAAAGCTCACAGACTACCACAGTTTGTGATTTTTCTTTTTGTTTAAAGTTCCTAGAGCAGATTTGGATAGGCGCTATGTAAATATTTATTATTATTATGATTATTATTAAAACTGTAATTTTTGAGTTAACCTAACATATGCTGATTTATATTGATATTTACACTCATATTATATTATTTAAGTTTGTTTGGGTATTCATGTTCTCGAAGATATTATTCATAAGATATGGCAGAGGGGGGAGAGGGCAGGTGAAATTTAGGGGRATAGGAAAAATTTTTACCAGTAAAATGGGGGTTTGAATTTTTTTTTTCAGAGAGTTGGGGGGGATGAAAAATTTTTAAAAGAAGCTAATAGAGATTGCCCGGGCAGCTTGTCTTGTCAAATCCATGTATTCTGTTGTTGCAATTATATATATTTCTCTATACATTTCCTTCTATAATTTTCCATTTGACCCAGCCCTTTAGCTCGACTAGCTCTATTTCTAAATGGCTGGTGCCCATTTATATTTATACATTATTATTTTATAAATTTTATAGTATATCAATCCAAGGAGTGCCAAAATAAAAATGTTTGTCACTTAATAATAATTGGTGTTTGGCCASCCATTTTATGTTCAACTAAAGGATCGTGCTCATATTCATAATCAATATGAACAAATGCTCTCTCAACATTAGGAAACTTTTCAAGCTTTYGTTGCAAAGGTTCTCCAATGTCATGGGCCTCTTGAAGAGACATAGTTGGGGGAAGGACAATATGTGCTTCAACAAGCAACTGATTACCAAAATGGTAAGCYCTGAGAGTGTCGATGAACTGTACCCGATGATCATGATGCATACACACCCACAGTAGACGTTGGAGGAGTTCTGGCTGTGCTGTGTGTCCAGTCAGACTTCTCACCTGTTGCGAACCAGTTCTCCACCAGCCGAAAGCAATGTACAAGCTTATGAGAATTGCACCAATAGGATCTGCATTTTTCCACAATTTATAACCCATGTATCCGAAACCAAGTGCACAAGCATTTGATAAAACATCATTTCTATGATCTTGGGCTAATGCATTCGTAGAAGGTGACTTGACTTTTTTGGCACAAAAAAATAGCAAAATCTTTACAACTATTGTTAAAACAATAATGACGATAGTAGTGGTAGAAATCTCAGGGTCAGCACTACCATTTMTTATTGTTGTTATTGAACTGATGATCAGCTGAATTGATGCCACGGTCATTATGACTGACAGAATGATGACAGCAACTGGCTCAAGCCGTGTCTTGCCTGCAGGATACTCGTAGAAGTTAGTGCCTTTGATAGCTCTATTTGTATACCAGAATATCAGTGACGAAGCCAAATCAACAGCACTATCGACCAAGCTAGATATAATAGAAAGCGAGCCAGACAAGTATGATGCCACAGCTTTGCCAATCAAGAGAGCAACATTACAAAAAAGGCTTAAAAAAACGATTCTCGTAATAGCTTTTTTGTGACATTTCTCATCTTTACCTAAATCTGACTCTCCATCGCTGGACAAGTTATCCTCAAAGGCATCTGCAAGCCTTCTTTGGTGCTCGTAATATCGACGCACATTCCTGGGTAGTTTCTTGTCCAATTCTACTTCCATGTCATGATTTTTCTTACGCAAGCGATATCTGCTACAAGACAAGCTTGGTCCTAGGTCATCTGATATATTATCACTTTGGGGAGCTATTTCCTCCACTGTAATTCTTGAGATGTTACCAGACAGTCCTTCATCATCAGAATACATTTGCAAGGTGTCTGCAGAATGATCCTCTGGTGATGAAAGCTCCACAACCAGCTCAATTTCCTTATTGGAGTTGTCGTTATCCATAAGTGATTCTCCAGTAACATCTCCATTCATTTTGAATCAAGAATTAATTATCCTGCCTGCCAAAAAAATATACATTATTCCCAATTAGAACATTATTCCCAGTTATTAATTATTCTTGGTCTTCAGAGTTAAGAATAATGGCTTAGTCATATATTAGACGAAGTCTGGCTAGAAGTGGAACTTATGCAGTGAAATCCTTGCTTTGCTAGTCATTTTTCCGGGGGGGGGGGGGTACTCCCTTATGTTCACTATACGGGTACATGCCGCCAAACAGGGTATGGTTTTCAGCGATTCTACTCTGGAACAGGGTATATAAAATCGCGCTCCCTCTGGAACAGGGTATATGAAATCACACTTTCTCCTCTCTGGAACAGGGTATCTATTTTCGCAATACCGGAACAGGTTATGATTTTCAGTGATCTTGCTTTGGAACAGGGTATGAATTTCAGCGATTTTACTCTGGAACAGGGTCAGGGTTCAGAGGGCTCAGCAGCACATCCCTACCCTAAACAGGCAAGAGTACCCCCAAGTCATTTTTGACCAGTAACATTGAACCAGCAACAATGATTGAGCTAAAACAAATTTAGCCAGTCATCAGTACTAGTTTAAGCCAGATAATTTTGCTGAGTTACCGGAACATTTTCTGTTGACCTATCAGCATCACATGTCAGACATATGGCACATGCAGAATCTCACAGATYACACCTCATACAGCTCAACTTGAGCTTATGACTCAACAAAATTGTATGTTGTTTTAATTCCTTATCAAACACATGCAATTTGCTTTAAGTAAATTGATAATGAAATAAATGAAATAATTTTGTGACTATGTCTCCTTTGCAAAATTCAAATACAAAGAAAAACGGAAAGGCTGCAAAGAAGGCTAAAAAGAGCAGACATTTTTTTTCTCCGCCCAAACTTTAAGTACGTGAGCACTGGAAAGTCTAAAAATAAATTGGAATTTTGTATTTTATTATCCATTGCATTGTGTCTGTGTCATAAGAGAAAATAGCTTTTTTCGTCCAGAAATTAAACTAAATACAGGTTCATTACAGAATTGCTACTAAATGCGACACTAACTGCTCAAGTGCTTTTAGATCACTAATAACTTTTAAACAATCTAGCCTGATTACCCTGCGGGAAGAGGTYTTTTTCTGACCCTCCGTGGGCTGGCTGGTTGGCTGGTCGCGGAGGGTCAGAAAAAACCCTCTGCTCGCAGGATAAGCCTGACTGATCTGATGCTTTCAAAGTTTAACACATAGTAAATTAAAACGTTATCCAGTTTTGTAAATTTTACATATCAAAACAATAACAACAGAAACAAAACGGTACATGAGCGAAACAACAACAGAAACAAACGCCTAGTACATGAGCTACAATTTTAAGCGAAACATTTCTATAGAGTGAAATAAAAATTAATATTCAACGTATAATAGTCAAATCTAGACACAAAACAAAACAATGGAATTAGGGTCTACTAGATCTAAAGTGYATTAGTCTAATATCTAGTTCACAGATTTAATGACTTCACTCTAATAAACGTGACGGTCTTAAAAAAGTACAGTCGGCCATATTTTTGTCCATGTTCTTCAAAAATTCTGTACAAATGCTTTCATATTTTTTATAATATATTCCTTATATTCTTACCTGTGCATGTCTTATATATTGGTCTACGCTGTGTAGAAACCTGTTAACAAGTAGAAGCCTTATTTTTTGAGTGATTCTCACAGCAGTATGCCTGCTGCTCTTTATTTCAACAAACAATAAAATACTGAGCTTTACATGCGCAAAACTACACTTTAGTGGGGGAGGGGTGGGAATTCCCCAGCAATGTTTTCTTTATCCCTATATTTGAAAAAGCAAATTTAACCACAACAAGCATTCTGTATTGCATTCATTAGATTTTAAATTTAATAAATAAACCTTTTTTTTTTTAAGAATTTGTATAATCTTCTAAGTAATGTTATTTTCTAARAGAGAACAAGTTATCCCCTCCCTTCCCCCCCTTAATTTTAGTTTTGTTTTAGATTCCAGTCCCTGTACGTGACTAGASCCCAGTTTCCAACCGATAGAGTTTTAGTTTAGTTTTTTTGTGTAGAAGGCTTCAAACTATCGAATATTTAATAGCATTCCTTCCCGAATCTAACAGGAATGCTGGCTGTAATGACAAGATAACRTAACGTTAAGAACATCCTTTGAGTTTTCGCGAGATCAGGGCCTTTTTCAGGAAGAGCAATGCTTCTAAAAACATGGATGCCAAAGAAAAGCTCGAATCGTTCGGCCGTGAGTATTGTAATGTGGCTTGAAGTATAAGGGTTTTTTTTCAAAGAGATTGATAATCACTTACAACTAAAAGATGCTAAAATTATTTTATAATGAACTGAAAGCTTCCAAATTTACTGCTTACTTAAGTGTACGCCTCCATAGTTCCCAAGCGTAGTCGTTCCAAGCATGCTCAACTAAATATATGTAATTTTATGCTCCAAGCTTCTTCCTTTTTCTTAGGTTTCTCTCATTATCTTTTGCAGGGATGTGGTATCAGGTTTTCTTGTGGTGCCTGGCTGGTTCGGTGATCATCCACTGTATAGCTGCCTGTGTAGCCTTTAGCGCACTTCGGAAACACACTCGAGGGAGATTTTTCCCTCTGTTAATCATTTTCATTGGCTTCCTTTACCCCATCACTGGAGGAGTCGTAACAAGTAAGTCCTACACAATATATTCCTTCTAATTTTATTAAGCTAAATAGCTATTCATTACTTTACTTTTAAGATGACTCCTACGTTGACCTAATCGTATTTGGCGCTTTTCCTTTCATCTTGAAATAACATCTTTCAATCTAGATATTTCGTCTTAATATAAACTATGCCAGAGGTCATTCAGAAATTACAGATAGGAAGACTTGAAGTAGTTAGTTTATTCATGAGTTGACGTACATTGTATTACTGTGATTCATAATTAAAGAAACTTTCTCCTGGGTTGTGGTTATCTTGATTTATTAAGCTGTTGCTATAATTGTCTTGTCATTCAAATGATTTCCCAGAGAGAATGGAACTTAATCATGATCTCCTGGTGTACTGTTCTTTCAAGGAGGGGCGGGATAGCTGTATCATTTGGATATAAAGGCAAATAAACAGAACTTACTCAAAGAAGCCTTACTTTCAGGACATACTAGAATTTAATAAGGCAGATACAAAATTATTTAACTATAGTCAAAACAACTTTGATCAGTTCTGCTTAATTTGCTGTGTGTGAAATATGATGTAGGGGAGGTGGTGCTTGTTATGTTTCTCCATTGATTCAAGGGTTTTTCTCAGGGGTCTCTGGATTTCCTTCCTCCCCAAAACCTAACAAGCTCAATTGCAACATTCCACCTATATGAATTAGCCATACCCTGACTTTGATCAGCCCAGAGGTTGTTTCAGGGTTCAATCTGTGAGTTAGCCATGCCCTGACTTAGATCAACCCAGAGGTAGGTTGTTTCAGGGTTCAATCTGTGAGTTAGCCATGCCCTGACTTAGATCAGCCCAGAGGTTGTTTCAGGGTTCTATCTTTGAGTTAGCCATGCCCTAACTTAGATCAGCCCAGAGGTTGTTTCAGGGTTCAGTCTGTAAATTAGCCATATCTGTGAGTTAGCCATGCCCTGACTTAGATCAGCCCAAAGGTTGTTTCAGGGTTCAATCTGTGAGTTAGCCGTGCCCTGACTTAGATCAGTCCAGAGGTTGTTTCAGGGTTTGATAAAATTTAAAGGCTTTGTTTTTAATATTTCTGTTTCGTTTACCATTTTCTTTTAGGTGCAACAATAGCAGCTGTTTATAGAACTGCAAACATTACAATGCCAGTCTATGTTGCATTTCTATGGGGTGCTGGGCAATCCTTTATTGGGTTTCTCTTATCATTCTCCAGAATACTAGCAACATTATGAGGCTATACACTCCAGATATGAATTGAATTTGAAAAATCATGTCATTTTGGTCACAGTACCATTCAGGATATCATACAACGTGCAATTGCTGAAGAAGTGAGAGAAGCACTTTTTAACAGATGGACCAAGGATATGACAAGTGAAATGTTTTTTTGAAAAAAAATTCATGGAAGTGAAGGATGTCACAGAATCCCCTTGGAGTTAACAAGATTTAAAGAAAATTCAATATACATTGAAATAACAATGAGGAGTCAAGAGAAAAAACACAACTGGAGTAAAGTGCTGCAAAGTAAGAAGATATTGCTATGGAAAAGGATAAAACATTGAATTGATTCAAATTGTAGCCAGGTACCACTTTAACAGATTCCTTTTAAGTTATTTATTTTGATTATTGAAAAAAAAAAACAACAATGCAGTACTTAATTCATATACTTACGTTTATACATATTGTAAGACAGACCTTTTCTAAATTGTCTTCGTTAATAATAAGGCATTGGTTTGACGGTGAGAGAAATGCATCAATATGATTTAACAAGAACCATTGTGTGCGTTTTACAGTCATACACAGAGGAATGGTCATTAATTAGATCTTATTAACCAAGCGGGAGGTCTGTCAAGATAATCTTGACCGAGGTTGGAATGTACAGACCGAGCGCAGTGAGGTCTGTACCTGACCGAGGTCAAGATTATCCCGTACAGACCGACCAAGCTCGGTTGATAAGAGTTTTATTATATGACCACTTTTCATTGAAAAGGACAAAATGTTTTTGCCGTAAGATTAATATGCAATCGGACCAGTTAATACTGGAGAATCTAGACCAGTCCACGATGCGATTTATCCAATCAGATTGCTCGATTTGCTAGTGTCCAGGCTCTAAGATTCACGGTCATATAATAATTATCTATAAATATTAATTCAAAACATATCTCAATCAAGTTTATTAAAGACCTGAGTTAGTGTTCATATAGCTTGGCACTACCTATATCTTTTCTAAGGTTTGGAGTCCTGATGCTAAGCTTATCGAACTCTACACCAGGCATAATATTCTCTTCTAGCTAATCCAGAGAAATTTTTTTTAGATGATTATAATTAAGAAGTTTCACAAAAACTGCAATTAATGAAAAATGTTTTCATCATATTCACTATAATCAATAATGTCAAATTGGCACTTGTGCATGCAAACACCTCTTCTTAGGCCAGTCCTCTTGACAGGTCATATTAGCTGCTCGTCAAATGTTGAATAGTCAGATGTGGCTAGTCATGTTGTCTGATTATAAGGAGAAGCTGTCATTCGTTCTTATTCACAGATTATTATGAGACCAAATAGAGACCAAAGATATGTATCTATGAGTCTTGGTTAAGTGAATATGAAATATGACAATGTTATGGCTCTCTTGTGAGATGAAATAAAATGAACATTGAAAGAGGTTTATTGCATTGAGTAGAATTTCACAGGTTAAATTTAACCACTCCATCACCAGCCGGAGCATTGTAAAAGGACTCAGCACAGCCAATCAAGCTTTAGATGTGATCAAATAGGATGTTTTCATGATGGTGTCATTGACCTCTACTACCAGACTCCCTTGCACACTTTCTTATGTTCAGTTAATTAGCACCTTACTATTCTCATGAGGGAATACAAATTTAAATAAGAAAGAAAATTCACAAAACATCTTGGTAGTGGGAGTCAAATGATGCCCCTCATTTAAACATCCTATTAAACACAGGTTGTGAGTTTATTCACTGTTTTTTTAAATTCTTCAAATCAATAATTTTCAAGCATTTGGTTCAGTTTTCAATGACTTTTTTCTAAGAATTCTAATGGGAATAAGTTTATAGTCAGAAATATCTCATAAAAAAGAGAAATACTAAAGCTTGATTGGCTGACAAATTCATGAATTATTCATGCTTTTGAAGACTTCTGGATATTCTTATGTGACATCATAGCTGCCATGTTGGTTGACTCAAACAAAACATTGCTTTATTTTGTTGATATGTCATCCAACATGAAAGCCACATCTTATTTTATTCTCATGGGGTGCATGCCATAYGCCACATATCTACAACTATTATTGCCATAGCAACAATGTAAACAATTATTGTTTACACCCTTTCCCTAATTCTTCAACCGACACAGCCTCAGACATCTGGGCCTGGTTCTACCAAGGTTGGATAGCACTATTGGACAGATAAATCTTATTCATTGGATGAATTTATTGGATAATAGCATCAACTTATCCACTGGATAAGGATTTACCCATTGAATAGTGCTATCCACCCGTCATACAACCGGGACCTGGATTTTTTGGCTTCTGACTCTAACCATTGGAAATATGATTGACAAAAGCCAAAAACAGTCATCCCACACTTTAACTATTTGTCTGGGCTGCTTAGTAGGTGTTAAGAAACACAGTGAAACACTGATTCAACTTATTATCATTCCTACATAAGAACAATATATGTTAGAAATGAAAATAGCTATCAGTAATAAAATGCATGCTTGCAACACCGACTCAACTTCTTTTCATTCCTACATAAGATTATCTGTAGAAGATTGGAAGATTAACTGTACAGAGTTATCAGAAATAAAATGGCCATACATTTTACAGTTGTTTATTGTTGTTTTGTATTTCACAGTGGCTGTTGTATGGTGAACCATATTAGTAACATTTAGGTACATTATTCTCTTATTTCTGTTACAGAATATTCCCATTTGGAGTTCTCCTTTGCTCAGTCCTAGCCTCAATTGTGTACAAATGTATTTTTTTTCCTTTATTAAGGTACATTGTATAGTAAAGAACGTGCGTGCCACGGGTTTTGGTTGAATAGCTGAATATTTTAATGCACAACCTAGACTAAGGCTGAGCAAAAGAGAACTCGAAACTGGAGTATTGTAGGTGGGCAATAATGTTAATGCATGCCTCTCAATAGAGACTGCACCATCACGTGATGGCAGCCATGACAGTAGGCAGGTATTACAGTTGAGCCTGCAGTGAGATATCCTTTTGTTTAAAAATCATATAAGTGAGGCTATTGAGTCGATGCAATCCTTATTGTCTCTTTTGCATCTAATTTGCATGCATCCATAATATCTTCTATCGAATCTGGTCTAATCTGATTTACATGTAAAAGAATTCAGATTCCCAGGGGAGAAAGACTCCATTGCTGTGTCTCCATTGGCTTCCATCAAATGATGGAGCAAAACTTCTATTGCATACTTACCCTCTCCTCCCAGTCCACCATTTTATTCTCTCCCACTCGCACCAATCCCTCATCCTCAAAATTTTAGAAGAACTTTGGTAGTCTTGATAAGTAAAGGCTAAACAAACGATCACCAGTGCATATGATATGATTTTTTTATTTTTGCATTCAAAGTTATGCCCAGTTTTCCTTCAGTCTGACACGATCATGGGTATCTGCTGATAGCTCGAACCAAACCGTTCTCCATCCGGTAGACTTGTATCCATTGCCTCTTCTCCATACATATCAACAGATCTTCGCTGTAAATCAGCTCTGACCAAAGGAAGCAGCCCGACACTTAACAACAGCGCACCACACAACACCAGGCATCCCACGAGAGCTCCTGCCTTCTCGACAAGACTCCCGATTAACACGATGAAAAATATTCCAAAACACTGTGCTGACGTGTTGAGGATACCAGCTGATGTGCCCTCGGGTACCGGGTACGTTATTTCTGCTGCGAACTCGAACCCCAGGGGTAGAAAAGATGTCGCGCAGAAACCTAGAACTGCAATTACCAAAAAGAGACCGTAGATGCTTCGGGCGAATTCCAAGGTGATGGTGAATGCAACCATTGCCAGGAAAGCAGTCGATAGTAAGAAGATGGTACCACGCTTATATGCTAAGGTCCTGTCCAGCCAGACTCCAGCCAGGACTGTGGTGGGGAGGCCAGAGATGACGAAAACGAACCCCAGTAAGCCGATCATGACGTCTTGATTTGGGAACTTTTGGGACGCCATCTCGTTAAGGAGAGTTGCAACTGCAGAGTAGAAGAAAAAAATTAGACATGATGCATTTTTGAGCCTTAGTTTAAAAAAATGGAAAACTGGTTGTTTTTTTAAATAATTCCTTCTTCAACACACCCACCAATATAAGGCGATAAGGCAATGTTAACAGAGAGCTATGAAACTATGCCTTTCAAAGCAAGGAATCATATTAACATTGATAATATCATGTATGCCTTCAAATAACAACACTAGTCCGTCCAAGAGAACAATGTCTGTGCACGATGATACTGACTGATCATGATGTTGGAAATTCTGAATTTTAAGATAAATTATTTCACGTCAATTATTTACGACAATTCTCCGCAAAGAGGATTTTTCAATATTATGCCGGGCGCACCGCACACCATCATCCATTTACCTAGAAATGGTGAGGTTGAAAATAACTTTTAAGATGGATTATTTATGACATTAATTGTCCGCAAAGAGGTTTTTTTTTCTATTATGCCGAGTGCACCCATTTATCTAGAAATAATGATGATGAAATATAACTGTTTTATTTTTATTTTTATCAACACAATACATACTTGAATATTGAACGCCAGCATAGATTCCATATGCGAGCAACAGAAACACGTAGGACGCGTTACCAAATAGCCGACGGAATGATTCCTTGTAAGACATTCTAAAGCACTTTTGTTTTTCCTGCAACACCGCTTGGGATTGACTGGGAGGCATTGGAGGTGCGTCTTCAAAAGCAATCAATGTTGCAGCGCCAATCAGACTGCAAAGAATCGATACCCCTCCGTAGAGCATCTGGAAGCCATTGCTGGTTATCATGAGGTCAGACGAACGAGGGACAATCAAAGGAACAGAAGCAAAGTACAGCGCCACACCAACTTGACTTGCAAAGACACCAAGAGCTGTTGCGGTAGCTCGCTCGTTCTGACCAAACCAAACCGCTGCAAGGCGAGGTGGAACACCAAGAATGAAACACTGGGCAACAGCGGTGACCGTTTGACCTGCCACTAACCAGTTGAAACCTCCTTTACTCGAAGCACCGCAGAATTTGAGCCAAGCTCCAAGAACGTTGAACCCAGCCGCTAATAATGTATTCACTTTTAGACCATAACGATCGAGAATCCACGAACCAGGGATGATAAATACGATGTATACAGCCATGAAAACCATGGATAGACAGTTCACGCCGAAAGCTGAGACGCCATAATAGGACTGAACGACGTCGCTGACGGCTGCGAACATGAGCCATTGGCCTGAGTTAGTCATGGAGAGAAGACAGAAAACTGCTAGCATAATCCATCTTCGTTTGTACAGCTCTGTTTGGAAATAGCCGTCACTAAACATGATTATACTTTTGTATTGTTCTTGACCTTTGGTAGTATCCGTATTTTGATGCTATTGTCTGTAATGCTATTCCATTAGGGGAAGAGAGAAAACATTTTACTAGTCAAGCAGTGCACCTGCGAGACTCTGCTGATAGCAGGTGTGAAGATCGAAGCACTGTTGGACATCTGTGCGCTATACGACTTGGTAAAGATCGCTAGAGATTKATGTTATCAAACCACAAAACTCGTGGGCGATTGGAAACGCTCTTGATAATATTGGTAAGGAATAAAAAGAAAATTGAAAAAATTGAAAATATAATAATAATAATTCGAATTTATAAGGCGCCATTTCCGGGAGCTTAGTGGCATTTTACAGGATCAGTGGAGGACTTTACAGGCTGCATATTAAGGCGTTAGTAGCAGCTGTGCAGCTTACAATCATGAGTGATTTGTTAGTACGTTAGTGTTATGCCTCCAGATTGGAATAAGACTGTTGAACCGGGAGACAATCCCCTACTCTTACACCAATAATTCAACAGGTTCTTTTATGTCCCCCATTTTACTGTAGGTTAGGAAGGGTTGGATAACAAGGGCCTACGGTTTTAGGTCCGAGAATACTTGAAGGTCTAACCATTTGCAGATTTAATTACAAAGGCAGCACCTTCTCCTCAGTTATTTTTAAGACCCTGAGTGTTAGTCCGGCTGAGGCTTGAACCACGACCTCCAACAAAACAGACCTACGCTGTCACCAACTGAGCTACATCGGGTGGCGGTAAAATATCGATACGAAATTGTTAGGCTTATTTTCTAAGTGAAAGTGTCTAATTAGAAGGATGACATCTGCTACCATCAAATTCTTTCCTTCAAGCTCATCTCCAATCGATCATATATCGAGGCAGTGGGAAGGATCTATCCTGGCCCTGATAAAAGAAGAAAAAAACAAAATTATTCCTGATTGGGTTGAAAAAACGGGAGTGATTTTAATGATAATAGTAATGTTTTTTCTTTTTTTAATTTGTCAGAGTATATATACATAAGATCAACATTAGATACCATAGTTGAATTGTATAGGAAAACAAAGGCGCGCGCGAAAAAAAATGTTCTAGTGCATTTTTCATTGATTTGTTTTGCTCTTTCGCATTACAGTGGACATTATCTTGATCTCGAATTTAAAAAATAATTAATTATTTAATTTTTCCGATTTTATTTTCACCATTCACTTTAATCTAAATTGGGCTCCCTGTGGTTGTGTAGGAAAGGGAAAAAACAATTTCAAAAGAAGAAAATGTTAGTCGAGTCAAACTATATTACAGCACAAACGCACAAAAGTATGACCACATTGAATGTGTTCTCATACTTCTATACTTCATATCGTATACGTTAAACCAACATTTTGATGCGAAGTCGGCTGGTTTTACCAATTTTTTTAAGGCGCGTAAATGCTCGTTTGGCAGGTAAAAGCCTGTGCATAGAATTATACGAATACATTGAATGTGGTTATACTTTTGCGTGTTGCGCTGTAAAGCTGCGGCGCGTCCATGATACTGCATGACGTCATACATGTTATTGATGACGCGGTTAATTAGAAATGCAGATCGAATGAACGAACGAACGATTTGACGATTGATTCTTAGCTCATTTCTACAGAATGAACTAAAAGGACTTCATTATGTGGGTTATTTGGATGAAGCAAGATAATAAATAAGAGATGGTTGATACAGAGGACTGTTATACGATCTCACCGGGTAAGACGAGTTCTCTTCTCTTCTCTTCTCTTTCCAAGCCATAGTCCCGCATTAAAACGTTAAAACTTCTCTCTTTACCCCCTTCAAATACCAGTGCTCCTTCAGTAACAGGTATGTAAGCTAAAGCTACACAAAACAGACAACATTCTTCTCATTCCTTTTCTTTGTGTTTTCTTGTCTTCGTTGTGTTCTCTCATCTTCCATCCCATCGTCATGTTCTCTTTCCTTGCTTTAATGTATTTAATTTTTCTTTCTTTCTTTTTTTTTAAACTCAAGACATCAGCCAAGAAGAGTTTGAGAATCTGTTAGAAGATTCAACCTTTGTAGACTTTTTCAACACATTTCTCTCTCTTCCAGTAAGTGTCTGCACGGATCTGTATAGAGGTTTTGCGCCATCACGTAACGGTAGCCATTTTAGATAGCAGGAACGATCGATCGTTTTACATTAGAAATAATTCGGTATAGACCCCTTGCAGCACGTCGGAATGCAGCTCAATTTTGGAGGACATAACAATAGGTTTCCAATTATCAGGAGATTGAAATCGTTTTTTTTTTTTTTTTTAATGCTCCAAATTGAGTTGCTTTGATGTCACATGCAAGAGGTTTATATCCCAGGAGCAAAGCGATTTTATTGTTCTGCCATCTAACCACAGTCAGTCCAAGCTATGTTATGGGTGTGGGCACGTGATGAGCAAAACCTTTATTCAAGATCTTGTTTGTTATTCTTTTCTTTTCTTTTTGTTTGTTTGTTGCTTTTTTTTTTTTTTTGTTTGTTTGTTTGTTTTTTTTTTGTTTTTTTTTTTTTTTTTTTTTTTTTTTGTTAATTTGATGGACCATAATTATTATCCCACTTTTCTCTGAAATGGT